ATGACAAATACTTGAAGTACAAAAATTAGATTGTGGAGAGAAGTACACAGAGGACAGTTCAATGGGGAGTGTGTCAAATATAAAGAATTAAACAAAAAACTGTTAAATGTGGATAATTTGCAGTCATCAAGAATCTTGTGGGACTCAGACTACATGTGGGTGCAAGACTGGATAATTTAAAAGCAACTCAGTTTACTGTGAGTATTATTAAATAATGTAATAACCAAGTAATGATTACTTTTGTAAATATAAGTGGGGTTAAACTAGTTAATAGGTAAAACATTTTATGTCTGTGGACAAAAATATCACTTTCCATTTTTAAGGTAATATAAATAATTAGTTTATAACTGTATCTATAGGTAGATATAAATACTGATAGGTTCTTACTTTTTGAAAAGCCAATACTTAAAACATTTTTCAGCATCTGAGAGTTTGATATTTATATTTTATTTTTTATAATAGATATGGGAATATAGCAGGACAAACTTGTTTTCTCATAAATATTTTCAGTACAACATAACACACATATGTAAACTATAGTGGAATGAGTTTGAATAGCTCACCCAGAAAATGGTTCTCTAAGTATAAAAATAAAAAATATGGGTTCCTTATGAATAAAACATGCATTTTGTATTTTCTGTCCTAACCAATGCCAAGGTCTACTCAACAAAAATCTTATGCTTGTTAGTAGAGCAAAAATTAGGATTCCCTTGCATACATATGTCTATACTTACTATACTTACACACACACACATAGAAAAATAAGATTGATATATTCTCTTGTTTTATATGTGATATATTGATATGTGTGTTTTAAAAGACAATCTACCCAAATGAAAATAACACAGAGCAATTAAACTTTCCTGGCACTAGAGGTCACTAAAACCAGATTACAGACAGAAGGGCTGCATCCTGCCAAATCCACAGAGCAGAACAGAGCTTGTCTACAATCCAATACGCAGTGATAAGGAACCAAAGCAAACTCAGTTTTTAGGAATATCCAAATCACAACACAAAGCACTGCAAATTCAAACTTCAAATTGGAAAATAATCAACAAAATGGCTGGTATTCAAATCGAGTTAATAAGAAGGAAAATGAATGTTTCCCCTGTTTATAACAGCTGTGCACGTTGATTTCAAATAAAGTTATCGAACCTTAACCTCTGCTGTTTATTTGTTTTGCATTTCAAAGACCACACAGGAGCAAGTGTCAAATCTTTTCAATATATCTGGGAATAAACAAGTGAATTGGGTGGAGTCAGGTGAGGGTAGGGGGAGAAGATTGACGGGTGATGTATGTACAGATACTGCTGCTGGTGACACCACCATCAAAGTGGCCATTGGTGACCAGGCAGAGTGATGAGCTGTGCCTTACAAGAGAAGCTTTGTTTGGTAGTCACTGACTGCTGGGCCTACTTCTGGATTTACTGTTTCATCGCCCAGGAGACTTCTTGTGTTTGGAGCTGGGAAAAGTCACCCATTTTCTAACGGCTTTCTGCTGTTGCTCCCTAGCATTGATTTTGAAGAAGCAGATTACTGGGTTAGTCCCTTCAAATAGCAACCATTTCCCTTTGTGAGTCTCACTGCTCCCTGTGCCAGGTTTCCCAGCCCCAAAAAGAGTGGAAACATCCGCACTTAGGTTGTAGAACTTTAAATGTATGGCCAGCCTGACTGTTTCTAAATGGAACACTGGCCTCTTTAAACACCGGCATGGTTTGGCAGTCAAGGATATAGGTCCTTACTTATATGTGGAATCTAATGAACAAAATAAACTGAGGAACAAAATAGAAACAGAGGCACGGATACATGAAACAGACTGATAGCTGTCAGAGGGGAGAAGGGAGGAGGGACTGGATGAAAGAATGTGAAGGGATTAGCCACAAACAAACACACATATAGCCATAACACATAGACACGTGCAACAATGTGGTGACAGCCAGAGGGAAAGGGGGATGGATGGAGATAGAGACTTCGCTTGGGGCGATTGGCTCACAATGCAGTGCACAGATGATGTTTTATTGAGTTGTACACTTGAAACCTATATGGTTTGTGAATCAATGTCATCCCAATAGATTCAATTAATAAAAAACAAAATAAAAATATATTTAAACAAAAGAGTATAGGTCTTTGGTCACTGACATTACAAGGGCCATGTAGAAGGGTATAGACTTCTTTTGGCCCCAAACACCCTGCACATTAAATTAGGTAACTGGACAATGCAGTCTCAAATATCATAAGTGTAATGATCAGTGAGTATGAGTCCTGCCTGACAAGAAGAATCACAATATTGAGTTATGCTAAGAACTATTCAAGTAATTTTGAGGAATTTTCATGACGAAAACAATTAGTATTTCCCATATTATTATCTATGCAAAGATATGGCAATTGTAAAATTTTATGATATTTTCTAATATTTCATATGTTTTTGGAAAGAACTTTTTAAAAACCTACTTGGTTAGGCCATTAGAGACTTTTAGTGATATCTTCAATAAACAAAAGGGAAAAGATTGAAGCATCATGTATCTTCTATTTTCCTTCAAAATCCAGAAAACTATTTGAGATGCTCGAGGGCAAGAATAAACAATCCCACATCACCAGCACCTAGGTCAGAAAGCACTAGGAGTGTGTGCTTAATGCACCCATCCAATAGAGTCAGCTTGTTTATTAACAACCTGATGATAACCATGGTTTGGGGACTTGGATGGAGTCAGTTTACGGACTTTATTTTGTTATAATTGAAAATCCAACACATGAATGAGTCCTCGGCTTTGTGGGGGAAGAGGTGAACTTTAGTGGTTCTTCTTTTGGAGAATATTTGTGTCCACCAAATGAAGAAAGAAGAAGGCAGAAAAAAGATTGTCATGATTTCTCCTTTTCCTTCCTCTTATTACACTTTACATGCTAGTTCACATATCAAATTAACACAAAATTTATTGTGGAGACATTTTAATTAAATTAATTGATCTTATTTTGAAATAGTAGAAATAATTACTTAATAGTCCTGCCTTGCCTATAGGATTATTGAAAAAACTAAATAATAAATGGCAATTTTAAAAAGGCTGAAGAGATAATTATTTAAGTTCAATATTCAAATTTTACTAAATTACTCAGAACCTATGATGCTTCCATATATTTACATCTCAACAGAAAAAAATTTCAGCCCATCTGGTGTGGCTCAGCGACTGAGTGTTAACCTAGAAACCAGGAGGTCGAAGTTCGATTCCCGGTCAAGGGCACATACCCAGGTGGTGGGCTCAATCCCAGTGTAGGGAGTGAATGAGACAGCCAATCAATGATTTGCTCTCATCATTGACATTTCTATCTCTCTTCCTCTCCCTTCCTCTATGAAATCAATAAAAATGTATTTTAAAAAAATATCAAAGGAGACATTTAAAGCAGGTGAGCCTGCTGAAACTCTTTCTTTCCATGCGAACTCCCTTCCTCTATTCATTCACAAAAATTATTAAGGGTCCAGTGTGTGCCAGATACCATTTAGGCTCAGGAAATGCAACAGTGAGATAAAGAGACACTGTCCTGCCCTCACAGAGGTTACTGTAAACGGAAGAAGACTGTCCATCAAGTAAACAAACAATGATGACATAGTGAGTTTCATGCCAGGATAGAGGAGTGTAGAGACCCTTGTGACACAGATGCTCATCTCTTTTCTGTCAATTTGCCATGTGGAAGTTACTCAATAAATATGTGCTGAATTATACGAGCTGAATAATTGGGACTGAATGAAAGTAGTCATCACGGGAAAAGAAAGGGAGGCATGGGTAAATATTCTCCCCACTGATGATAGTTTCATGCTCAGCCAAGAATCACGTATCTTGTAGGAACTGAAGCGGCGTAGGCAGGGTGACAGACCTCCACTCACAGGAACTAAGATTTCTACCGCGCTTTGTGAGCTGCGGAGAGATGCAGCAAGAGCTCGAGGCACAACAAGGGGGATGAGATGGCACAGGACCAGGTGTGGGGAAAACAAAGTTTACTTCAGCCTAAACTGTGTGGCAGTGAGCTAGCTTTTACCCATAAATTCTCCGAAAAGACATATTTTTATTTCACGATTTCAGTGTAAGTCACAAAGGGTGCCTATTTTAGGAAAAGAGGTGGGCAGGCGCATGTAGTGTATAGGGCACACAGTGACTTTTTTTGGTCTAGGACAGAGACCAGAACAGAGAAAATCTCATGATGGCCTCGGAGTTTGTTAGAAATTTGTGATCCATCAGGAGCTGAGTTGCTTTCATTAAGGCTTATTCATAACTGGTCGCTCTGATAAGCTGACAAAACAAGTGACTTCCACGTATAGGATAGTTCATACATTCAAGGTATTAAACCCGTTTTTATTTTAGTTTAAAACCCTGATTTATCTCTTTCTGACAGCACATCTCAGGGTTCTTTCTGGCTTCTTGCTACATTAGAGCAATCACGGATGCCAAGGTTTGATGGGCACTGTGAGGACTCTTCTCTATAGTCCGCTGTCCGTGTGGGGCTTTCTGATATGATTGATTGTGGCACAGAGGCATTCTCCATAGAAAGATTAATTGCTTCAGAAATTATCCATTACTGAATGGTTGACCGTGACTCTACACTTTTTATTCCTACTTAAGCAAGCAGTTCCTGTGTTAGGTTAATTTATTTTCTCCCTCTCTTTTTAACTAGTCAATATTTATTTTACTTTTATCTTTCACATTTAGGTAAGGGTTTCCTCTTGCTAATCTAGGTGAGATTTGAGCAAAGCCTTCATAATTCATAAAGAACAAGAGGAAATATTTGTATGGCTTGCTGTCATCTTTTCTTTAATGCACATGCCTCCTACTATGAAGAAGTCAACACTATTAGGTCATTTTCCAAATTTAAGTCTCTCAAAAGTGCCATTGGGCTGGACTAGACCCTGATGACATGTAAGAAGTTGAGAAAAATGAGGGAACTGCATACAAATCATTTTCAACTCATTTAGGAAAGCCAGAGCATGAGCACAGGAACAATCTTACCTTTGAAAAGTGAAAAGCAAGCTTTTACTTAAGATTGTGCTTGATGAAATAGCCTAGGGCCAAGGTTGGAATTTTTCAACTTGCTCTGCAAAAACAAAACAAAACAAAACAAAATGTTTCCATGTTCTCTCAATAGGTATCTAGAAAATGAATTTTTTTATTTCCCATTTTCATATGAAGTGACTTTGAGCTAGAAGATGTATCCAATGAGGATATAGGAATGTTACATTTAAAAAGATGAATACAATAAAGCATTATATTAAAAAGATATTAAATATTTTGCATCTGAACAGTCCATATCTATCATGAAAGAAAAATAAAATTAATTCCACTTAAGCTCATACACGACAGACAAAGCAGGAACAGTAAAACCCAGATCTTTTCTCAAAGTGCTAAATACTTGGCTGTACTATTTTTAAAATATGCTTGTGCTTAAAGCTTACACATGGCTGCCAATGAATCTGTTGTATAATGTTATTTAGTTCACAAAGCTGAATAATCAGTTTTACCAGAATGCAGACAAGGGGAAAATAATTTTTAGAAAAAATTTTGTTTAATGTTTTTTATATGTAGCTGTCACAGGATACATACAAAGCATAGCATTGTTAACTAGCATAAAATTCCATGATAGATGAGCATTTTTATTTTGGGCAGCTTTTCACATAATTTAGATGGGGCAGTCCTCCCTAATTCCCTCCCCTGCCTGCCTCAGATGTTGGGTCAGCAATCTATATTTGCTCACCACTTTGTTATCTTGACACAGTTCACAATGCAAAACATCTGGAGCTATGGATGAGTTCATACAGTGCAAAACTATAGGTTTTCCCCCGAAGAGTATTTTTCATTATATTTTAAAATATCAATTACTTCCTCTAAATGCATAGCTCACCAATTCTCTAACTTCGAGATATCAAATGAGTATATAAACCAGAGAACCCTCCATTGTGCCACCAGACTCACAGCTGGAGGAAAGAGTCCACTTTATCTATCCCCTGTCAAAGTTGACTTAGTATACATTTCCTAACTACTGCATGCTGGCCACAGTTTTTCATGATTGCTTTTCCTCAAGTTTCATGAGAAGACAGTTTTAATGTATATGTTTTCATGCCCACCCTCAAACCACGTTCAACATTGCAATCTAGCTAGCACCCATGTGCAAATGGCACTTCAACCTAATACTGATTCTCTGTATGGCAACACTGCATGTATTACTTAACCTTTTTTAAAAAAATTATATTTTTATTGATTTCAGAGAGTAATGGAGCAGGAGAGAGAGATAGAAATACCTAGGAGGAGAGGGAATCATTGACCAGCTGCCTCCTGCACACCCCATACTGAGGGTCGAGCCCGCAACCCAGGCATGTGCCCTGACCAGGAATTGAACTGGTGAACTCTTGGTTCCTGAGTCAATGCTCAACTGCTGAGCCACACCCAGCTAAGCTATTATTTAACCTTTACTTCTATCCTGCCCTGCCCCATCTCTAATGCACTAGTTATATAGTTATTGGGAAAACTAAGGCAAAACATGTTTTCACTATCCTTTTTCTTCTTAGAAAATCACTAAAACAAAACCTTCTAAGTTAGATAATCTCAAACTCAACACTTTTAACTAACTCATTGTTTTGTTCCATATACATAGGGCAAATAGTCTTAAGTTCAATATACATAGGGTAAATAGTCTTATACTTTTTTATGAAAAATTAAACTTTGATATTTTGATGAGGTGCTCAATAGAAATTAAAAGTATTTTATAAATACTTAAAAAAGCATTTTTATAAAGCTAATATTGACTGAGATCAAGGACTTCATAGCTGCCTTGTACGCTGCCATGTTCAAATCCAGCATATGATGCCGTGCCAGTTAAGGTACCATAATTTAAGTTCAATATTTTATGCACTTTAATCAACATTTAAAATACAAAGTTATTTTGCAAGTGAATATCTTTGTATTGTTTCAATGGACAGCTTATAGGCTAAGAAATAGTTTACAGAAAGTGGATTTTGAGTCTATGTAAAGAATACATATCTAGCAATTGGAATTGTTCAGCATTAAAAGAAGGCTAAAAGATGTCAGGGATGTGAAAGAAGGAGACAAAAGCATCTTGAAGATCATTTTTTTGCTCTTAAGTATCTGTTTTTCTCATTAGTAAATTGAGTCCAATTTTCTTTCTCTTCTGGTTTCCTCTAGTTCTTTCTTCTTCAGAGATCCATCACAGGCCACCTGCTTTCTTACATTGCTTCTACTACAAGTTGCAGACACTTAGCTTCAGGTTATTATTTTCTGTAACCATTGTGTATGATATATAAACTATGTGTATTTCTTCCTCGTTTTACTCTTCCTGACTCCAGTGTGAACATAGTCAAGGGCTCCCTGAAGTAATTACTATAATTTAAAAAACTATATATAGTAGGTACCTCAGCCTGGCCTGGGCCCTCCCGCAAGCCGGGACCCCTCGGGGGATGTTGAACTGCTGGTTGTGGCCCGATCCCCACAGGCCAGTGGCCTGAAGTCCCTGAGAGATATAGTAGTGTGTGATGCTGCGGGTGGCCAGAGAGGAGCCCAAGCCTGGGCCAGGTGCCAAACTGCTCCTGCTCATCCTGGCCCTGCTGCACCTGCTGCTGCCTGCTACAGCGGTCCATGAGCCCGGCGTTTGGCACCCATGGGTCAGCTGAGTGGCACTCCCGCTGTGGGAGCGCCCTGACCACCAGGGGGCAGCTCCTGCATTGAGTGTCTGCCCTCTGGTGGTCAGTGTGCATCAGAGCGACCAGTCAGTTATCTGGTCATCCAATCATTAGGTCGCTTAGGTATATATATATATATATTTTAGAGTCCCGGTGCATGAAAATTCATGCACTGGGGGTGGGGGGTCCCTCAGCCCAGCCTGCCCCCTCTCACAATCCGGGAGCCCTCAGGGGTGGAAGATAACCCGGCAATCAGGGGAAGGCGATGCCCCATCACACCTCTGTTGCTGCCACTGCTGATAGCACAAGGCTTGGCCGACCCTGGTTACCTAAGCCTCAGGTGGCCCTGGGCAGCTGGGAAGCTGCCATCCGAGGCTTGCCTGCACCTCGGGTGCGGAGCAGCCAGGTCAGCCCTGGGGCAGGCCCAGCCTTGCCAATTGGCTGCCACCCTTGAGTCTGCAGGCTGACGCTCTATCCACTGAGCCAAACCAGTTAGGGCAACAGATATATTTTTGAAAATCTAATTTGTAAGGTAATAGTAATTAGAGTTGAACATCTATGTGTGTTTCTATTGAGAGAGTCACTGAATGGCTAATCTAGAAATGGCCACAGAGGATTTTATTTCAGTCCTGTCATTTCACAGAGGACACTGAGGCCCATAGAGTGGTGTAGTGTTGCTCTACAGGCAGAGTTGGAAACAAAGCTGAGGCAGGAGCCATTTATTTCTCTTGACCCCTATCCCTCTATGGTCTGTGTTGGAAATGCATAAAGTATTCTGACAGAGGCTGGATAGCCAGATGACAGATCCCTGTGGGACTATAAAAGAGATTCCTACATGGGGCAAAAAAAGGTTGGACCATCTAATATCCAAGGTGTGCCTTCCATTTCCATGATTTTATTCTTCTACATTTGGAAATTAATTGTGATAAAGAGGAAAGAGATGAAGAATTTCTATAAGGGTAGCATGCTGAAAACATTGAGGGTCTGTATTCAAATGACAGCAAAACAAAATCACTAATTTTCCAACTTTACATTTGACAATATTTCCAACTTGAAACTAATAAAGCTTCAAACTTCCTATACTACAGTTTCTCTCATAATTATGCATGTTATTAAATAATTGGTAAAATAAGAGGCATCGAGTGGACTCCATTCACTGGCATCATATAACTACAAGAACATATGCTGCTCAAAGCACTTCCATTCATTTGGTGAAGCAAAGTGACAAGAGGTCTGCAAACAAAAGTAGTCAGCAACTGGCAGGCATTCAGGGAAATTAATAATAAGAGAAGGAGAAAAACCTCACTTAATCCTCTGGTGTATAAAAACAAGTTTAAAAGTATTTACACTATAAATGAAACCCTCAATACCACTTCCTATTGGCAATATTAGGAACGTTTTCAATTGTGTTTAAACTTAAATATGATGGCCAAACACTTTTAGATACCAAAGCTGAATTACCTCAGAAGGAATGTGAATATTTTTACAGTAACTTACATGTATATTATAGATTTTTAAATGTCAGAGTTAGGGAGAATTCATTTCCTACTAGATTCCCCAATCTCCCTAGTTTTCTCACACATCACTAATTCCTAAAAGTCCAGTTTATAAACAAGATCCTGCAAACACTATACAGTATCATTGAAGACAAAATAGTTTACCTGTGAACCCTGGAATGACTCTTTAACTGGGGTCAGAAAGATCACAGAATCCAGAGGTCCCTGCAGGGTTCAGTTGTAAAGAGACGAAGAAACAGAAATTTATCATTAGAAGCACAATGGGAGACAGTATGTGGGATGCAAATAGAAAACAGCCTTTCTTCCAGAAACCAAATTGCCAATCATTTTCGTCTTTCCTTCATTCACTATTTGATCATCTACTATGCAACAGGCACTGTCCTAGGTGCTGAAGACACAAGGCTGGCTGTGGCCAAAAGATGATGGCAGTGTATAGTAACTAGCTCACAGAAGAAAGAGGAATGATAACAAGAATATGAAAGGGATTGTACATCGGTATGTGAAAATTAACTGTTAAATATGATAGAGGTCTCACATTACTTTTAAAATGTGTACTGAGAAATTTGAAAAAGAGCTAGAGATAGACAATAGTATACCTTGAATTCAGGTACACAAAAGTAAAATGTGTAAGGTAAAACTCCCTCCTGTTTTTATCTTCCTCACAATGAAGAATGTGTTCTTTCTGCAAAGGCCACCCGAGCAGCATAGAAATTAACTTAGACCAAAGAATAGCAATAGCCCATTCCTCTGCCTTCAACCTTAAGACATATGGTATGAGGACAATTCAACTCATGGTGCTCAACTCAAAATTTATTAACAAGCATTGTAAGTCCATAGAGAAATTACTATATGGTTTTTTACTGGTAAGCAGATAATTTTAAAAATAA